ATAACGTGCCATTAAAAGATGCAAAAATATGTACACAAGTTTGCTAGGATAAAATATTATAATGTAGATGCAAAAATAATTATGATTAATTTGAGATCATAAATATAATTTGTGTTGTTTAACGTTTAAATTTAAACAAGTATAAGTGGTTTGGATCATAAAATTGATCAATTTACACCATCATAATATATGATGTACTAAATACCGAAAGAAACCTCAAACGCAAAGTGCAAATGATTTATGGTTAGACCGTTGCAATGGAAACACGAACTACACCAACATTTTGGCAAAATTATAAACAATCTAATTATAGTGCACGCGCGGTTACTGTACAATGTTATGAAAAAGTCCGTTTAAACGATTTCAAACATCAAATTGACAATTAATTTAAGCAGGACGAGTAAAACGATTCACTCGTCTCGCTCGAAGACGAATGTCGGCGGGCAGCGAATAACCGGTGGCCGTGGCAATCAACATAACGACGTCCATTAATAATAAATAATAATATATGCTGTTATGCTACCAATGCGCTGATCGCATGTGCCGATAATAATATAATACAAAATATGCATAACTTAATATACCGTGTGTGTATATTATTGTAATGGAACGGTGTGCTCTAAAATTCGTTTGCAGTTTATTCAAGACCAGCCGTTTCAGTTAAGTGCTGACCAACGGACATGATTTCGCAACACTTTACAATAATAACATTTAAAATAATTATATTTAGCTACATGGCACGCGCAGTGATCTATATATTAATATTATTACTATAACAATATGGAATATTTGCAATTTAGCCGTGGATATATGCACCGGTCGAAAGTTAACTAAAATAAACAAATCTATGTAGGTAACACTATATCGGGCGCAGACAATTTTTGCGTACCGAGGTATAAATCATTTTACCACACTGCAATATTCTGCCTGTATCATAGAGCCCGAATGTCCGAAAAAGCGACTATGCATATATATATATGGATATGTTATTGATGTAGTACTGCCTTTCTATGCATTGCATTTCTGTTGACCATCGTCGATGGCAAAATATAATAGGCACCTATAATAGGTAAAAGTGTTTTGTAGGTCACGTTTCCGAAATATTTCGTAATTAAATTGCTCGAGATACAAAACCTATTGTAGTCTATACCTAGTATACATTTGTGGTTTATGAAGTTTTGATAATTTAAAATTGAATAAAAAAAATGAACTCCTTTTGCATGACGGCGACGATGTACGTATGTTAGAAACATGTGATTATGATTATTAGATATATACTTTTTCCACTGCGATATTGTGGATTCCGTGGTTTTGATTCCGGGGGACCTGGCCGCGCTGGGCGGTGGTAAACTCTCCCGATTTTATGGTAAACTCTCCCGATTTTTCAAAGTAGTAAACTCTCCCGATGGTAAACTCTCCCGGGTTAATATTATGTTTACCTGAAGTAAATGTGTAAACTCTCCCGGGTCAAAATTATGTTTACCTGATGTAAATGTGTAAACTCTCCCGGGTCAACTTTATAGTTACCTGTAGGAAGTATGTAAGCTCTCCCGAGTTGTTTTAAATGTTATTGCTACACTACGAGTTGGCTACACTGCAGAGATTGTGATTGACTATTTTTAATAGAAACTTAAATGTATATTGGATTTTTTGAAATTTTATTTTTTATTGTATTTTGACTATAATATCATGTTCATAGCAGCTAAAGACATTAATTTATATTGTTATTATTATTATTATTATTATTATATATGATTGACTATTTTTAAACGCAACTTAAATGTATATTAAATTTATTTTATGATTTTTACTAGACTCGGGAGAGTTTACATGTTCTCTTCAGGTAGTACTAAACTAGACCCGGGAGAGTTTACACGTTTTCGTCAGGTAGTACTGGAGTAGACCCGGGAGAGTTTACACGTTTTCGTCAGGTAGTACTGGAGTAGACCAGGGAGAGTTTACACGTTTTCGTCAGGTAGTACTGGAGTAGATCCGGGAGAGTTTACCATCGGGAGAGTTTACCATCGGGAGAGTTTACAATCGCCCGCCGCGCCAGAAATCGAAATAATTACTTACACGGAGAATCTCAAAAAATATATCGTGGGTAGGTATATCATAGTTTTATTCTGTAATGGAAGTTTTTCCACTGTTTCACCACGACAATTGATGACTGTAAGAGACCGGGTAAAGATAACTTTGTCCCAAGAGTCAAGGGTACACAACATCGTGCAGCAGCAGTCGAAATAAGACATTATAGTGTCTAATCTCGACGATTATTATATAAACCGTAATAATATATATTACGTATCCGTCTTGGGACGTGTGTATTTGTATATATAACAATTATAATACTATATACATATTAAATATAAGACACAGGTAAACCTCAAACGTCGATCTGATAGCCGATTGTGTTCAGACTTCAAACATCAGACATAAATCTGAGGAGGAGAGCGAGACAGGCGATCGTGAAATAATAATGATAAAGGTAGTGTAAACTAAATAAAATAAAAAAGAAGAAGAGAAGTACACCCAAATATATAGCTCCGGGGTGTTTTTGACCTGACCTTGATGTATATAACTCGTTTTAATAATAATAATAAAAAACGATTCGAAATAATTTTTATTTTAAGTAGATACACATATTATCACTGCAGCAAGGTGCGATGTGACTTTAATCAATTTATTAAAATTATATTAATATAAGATACGGTCAGGAGGGTGAAACAATAATTATAACGATGTATTTTTTTCAAACATTACTAGTTCTAGCTCCGGCTTGCAGGGTTCACGATATTAATTACACTGTTATACACCCCCGAATCTAACTAACAAACCATAAAAAAAATATCTTAATTTTAATGATTTTTTTCTATTCCTGGAGTCTTGGCCCACACACATATTCATCCGGTCCACCACTAAGCTGCCCTTTTAAAGATTTGTATAAACGAGTAAAAATACAGGTACATCAATACCTTCCCATTTTCCCTATGTCTATGTAGACAACGGTAATCTGAATAAAAATCCCCAACTCTAGGAAAAAAAATCCCCAGACTACAAAATTACTCACAAACACAAGCAAATTATTGGATTGGGCAAATATTTTTTAAATTTTAATTACCTTGCGTAATTACCAACAGTATTAATATTTAATTACAAATATATACTTATACATTGTAGCAATATATACTTAAAATTTAGACAATGTTCAATTTTTATAGCTATGGATTGAAAATTTAAAATATTACAGACCTACGTTTTGTTTTGACTTTAATGTAAATAAAATATTATTAGGAAGCGTTTTTACAAGTTTAACTTTATATAGATGAAATATTTAAAACATTATAAAATAAAAACAATCATCAGACAATAGTTAATGAAGGTAGGTAAAAAAAATTATTTCGAATGCGTCAAATAATAATAATAAAATAATTATCAAATAATAGTTAACTCACTGTTAATTATTAGATTGTCTCTTAATATTGTGGCTTATACCGAATTCAAAAAAATGTTTAATATTTATTTTGCCACCTACAAACCTGACACGAAGTTCAATAATTTGCATATGTTTGTGTGAGTAATATTGTAGTCTGGGGATTTTTTTTCAGCAATTCAGACATAACACCAGAATAATTTATCGAAATAAAATGACAAAATATAATTTACTATAGAGTGATCATTCCAGGAGACTTCAGAATGATCCTGGAGCGAAAATGGTACATCGTCGATACGTCGATAGCCGTTATCCATTCGTCGTATAACCGGCCAACCGTAGATCGGTATAGCTGTAATACACAGATGACAGATGGGGTGACCAATAAATACACAGCTTGAGTGACCAATAAAAACACAGTTTCGCAAAGTTGATAATATTGTACAGTTTTTTAAATAATTAAAATATAAGCTATACAGCGTACATAATATATATTATAGGTTATAAATAAAGAAATGAGCAATAATTCCTGTATGCATATTTAATTTGACTCAATGTTCTTTGGAAAGTGTATACCTTAGCCAGGGTCGTCCGACCTTTTGAAATTTAGGGGACCAATTAACACATTTATAAAAACTAAATGGGTCGCCAAAAGAAAAAAATATATTATTATTTGTATTTTATTTAATAACAAATGTATTATAATAATATAATATAATACACAAGTTATCACAGAATAGAATAGTAATGCCACGGGGCACGAGAGATTCACCACCGAAGTTTTTTTAAATTTATCACACTTAGACTCTAAAATTATTAAATATATGTTTTCTAAGTACAGTGCCAAAAAAAGGCTTGAAGGGCCGCGGGTTGTAGCACCCTATCTTAAACTAAGCTACCTATATATACACGAAATCTTAATTTACCACCATCAAATCATCTAACTCAACCTAACCATTCTTGGACTCCAAAATATAGCAATGATTATTAGCAAAAAATATTCTATAGTGTAAGTACTAAGTATACGTATTCTTTAATCTACACAGTTTCACAGTCACAATGGAAAACATAGCAATATCATGAGATTCCATGATTCATGAACTCGTCTAGGACGTAGAAATACTTCCGGAAGTAAACGAAAGTCCAAAATACAAAGCACTGCACATGGACGCGGCACGCGTATTAGTTACATTATGTTATGTCTATGCGTGGAAAATCATTAATTCGGACAAAACAAAAAAAGCCGTAATCCACCACCATCAGAGGCGTGCTGAACAATTTTAAAAATCGAGGTCAAACTAAAATTTAAGGACCCTCCAACCCAAAATCCGGTGCTTAAAATATATTTTTTTACAGTCGAAATATAAAATCGCTATATTTTACCGTGACGTATTTGTTGTATATTTTACGTTTAATCTCCCGACTACCCGTTTTTGGCTTGAGCCAATATAGCCACACAAAAATCTTCTTCGGCACGCCACTGAGTCTACCACTATATACGACAATGTTAAATACCTACCACGTTATAATATATACAGTGTAAGTAAAAGTTATGCGATCGTCTCACCTTTGAACACCATGTCGTCGTCGGATCGTGTGCGGCGAGTCGGTGCATCGACCGCGCTGTCTGCAGCCCATCGTGTCCGGCACTAGTAAATAAAAAGAACTCACTGCGCACCGTCGGCAGCGCGCACACACGGCGTGTCGCCGCCGCCGCATTCCCCCCTACGACACCGCTTAGTACCCCCGCGGCCCCCGACGCGCCCGCCACATTACGGTGCACCACTACCGCACATCGTTGTATAATATTATTATAATAATATGACGATTACAATACTACAACTACGACACCCGTCACACACACACACACACACACACACACACACACACACACACGCGCGCACACTTGATAATGATATCGTTACGAAGCGATAAAAAAACAATAATAATGAGTGACGACCACGAAATACGCGTCGTCGTCGTCGTCGTCGTCGGCGTCGGTAGACTACGTGGTACCAGCCATACGCCGGCTTTAATAGCGCCCAATATAAAATCGTTATTATTACTATTATTATTATTATTACACTCACGATGTAAAGCGTGCTTGGGTAAGACCACCGTGCGAACTTATAATATTATCATGTGCGAGACTTCAAACAATTATTTGACCCACCCGCCCATCCATTTATTAACCAAATATAAATCAAGTCCCTATAGTACGTATACTATTTATATCTAACACATCTAATCAGTCGCCCACCCACCTACTAAAAAAAAAACTTTATGACTATACGACTTACAATTCTTTAGACCCACAGAAGTAGTATAATAGAACTACCCGAGGCGCCGCCACTGATCATCGCGTGAAATAGGTACCAAACGTGATCGCTTTGGGCGTAGGCGGATATAGGTACGAGAAAAGTGTTGGGATAGACACAAAACATGCACCCATTAGACTTATCGTCATGAGAGGGGGGAGCTTTTATTTCTGGCACACACCACGTAATTATATGGAAATATGGTTTTGCGATAATACAATGATATTTTATCCTGATTCAAAATACAAATTATACACGTAAAATCGGATTCCTATGTTGGCTGTTATTATAGATTATTAATACCTAAGTATTATCATACCATTATTTCAAAGTTCATAAATCATAATTTTATTTTAATATTATATGTTAATTTATTATGCTATTATATATCATATTAAAATTTAGGATATTTTCGGTACAAACATCAATAACACATCAATGTACAGTGCATCATAGTGTTTTTCAATGTTGTACATGATGTATACATTTATAGAATACACGTCTTAGGCCGGACAGCAAAGCAGTGAAAAAAAACTGCCTCGACCAACTGCAGCACGCGGCGCGCTGCATGCCGACTGCAATAGACTATATAGCCACCCGCACCCGTTTAGCACTGCAATAACCGCACCGCTTTGGTATGCGGCCTGCCTCAAACTGTGTACATAGATTAATCAATACACTATACTGCAGTGGTATACGATCGTGGTAACTGAAATATTAAATTCGTATTTCTTCTCGCTCTCGTGGTCGGCGCCAGTGTACAATAAATTATACGATTATGTATAAAATGTAATTCCGTAATCGTCGTAAGATTACATTGCGAGCACGGGAAGTGCATTGTAATATTGCGTTTACATCTCATATTATGCTTGCAATGGTCGTGTTGAGAGGTGCTCGAAAGGTACGTTTGTGAGGTGCTCACACATTTCACGGAATGATAATATTATGGTTCACTCGTGATACCGCCCGCCGTTGCCGCTTCGGCGATGTGACTCGCGAGGAGTTTCCGATACGAAATACCTACCTAACATTTCAAACGATACGTCAGTGTTACAGCCGCTGTGAACGGCCAACCGGTATATAATATGCGTATAATATACAATAATAATGCCGGTCCGCATACAATATCTGATGTTATTATAATATTATACAAAACAATACGATACGAAACTCCGATTAGGTATACTGAACGTCGATTTCAAAACATGACGTTGTGCGGCGCAGTCTCCAAAAGCGACCAACAGAAGATCGGTGTAGGCGCATATCATTACAGTGTTAGTCGGCCATCCATACGGGCCTCTAACGATGCTTGTTTGACGTTGATTCATGCAGTTCCTGCACAACTTTACGCTAATGGTACCGTACTAGGTAAACTATTTGTTTTGCACTTATTACATTTATTATTTTTTTCAAGTACCTACCAGAACAGACCCGGTAAATATTTTTCTCGAGCACCGGAACCAGGAACCATTATAGGTACTGATAGAATCGAGTCCCCCGTGCACATTTTTTATGTTTTCTTTACCGTAGCTCCAGCATTTAAATTCGACATTCAGTATACCACGTTGCAGCGGTATACTGGTATCGTACCATGATATCGATTATTTTTATTCTATATGGTACTGACATAAGTATATACTCACTTATAATTACCCATAAGATACCGTTTCTCTGAATAGTGTGGACTCTGCGTCTACAGTCAACTGCCGGTCCGGATGTGGTCAGCGTCTGTACATGCCGTTCTGTTCCACCGTCTGATGGTGCAATGAAACCTTACCTTAATGCTCGTTTGGCCTTGTGTAATGAATCATTAAATTCAATACAAATGTATTTAGTTATAAATTAATTTAATACTTGTAATTTCATATAGTTAAATTGCTGCACATGATTATTATTTATTTTAGAGAGTTTACTTTTTAAACATTTCACTCTTATATAAAAATATTAAATAATATATATTAAATATCTTGGCTCCCCATGAAGCAATTTACTTTTGATAAAAGAAAATGTGCCAGAAAATATTAATAAAGTGGCCCGAGCGCTGAGACCGGCCATCGGAAAACTTTTTTAATTCCCGATTTGTCCCCCCCCCCTTTATCGTCTTCGTAATATTGAATAATAATGTTTGGTACATTATTACATGAATTTTCGGCCATTGTAAATGTACCATATTAATTGTTTAAATACACAACGCTAAAATCACTACATTTTGTTAAAAACGTGTACCATGTAAAATCCGAAGTCTGCCTATGTATATTTGAGGCTCTTTGTAGGCGTTTCGTAGCACCGCCTGCGCCTATGGTATAGTTGCGACACCGTGCACAAGCCGTGCAAAAAAAATAACAGCGTTAACCCTTTTTGTCACGATCGATACGGGGCGGAGAAACAAGTCTCGCGGGCGTGGATCATGCGCGAACCCGCCACTTGTCATGTGAAATAAGTACCTATATCCGATATCGCGTTATAACTTAAAACACCTTGTATACGCAATAATAATATTATATCAAATGTGTAATCTTATCAAAATATGCGTCATCAACTATTATTATTCTATATAACATATTACAGTGTCGGTTGTCCTCAAAATAATATGTGCTGCTGAGGATATTTTGGAGGACCCACCTACCTACATAATATGATGGCTGAATGTATTTAGTTGAATATATAAAAACTTTAAAATTATCATCCCCATGTTATCCATCACTATAGGTACCGAAAAAACACATCACTAAGATATTTCCAAATTTTAAACAATAAAACAGTAATTTCTAAGCAAATCTAATTTATGACAAAATCGATTTTTTTTATTAACTCAAAATTGTGGAGATTCGAAACTTTCACCAAATTTTTATGTATAAAATTAGAAGACATGAAATAATTTTCAAAATATTTTGACTCATTTTGTGCTATTTATCTATGGGTATTAATGTATTATACTAAATTTTCAACTTTTTAAAGTTTTATTTGGTGTTATGTTATGTTGGCTGATGAATAATTATATATTAAACAATGACCCATTTAGTGCAACATTTTTGAAAAAATATGTTACATTACATAATATTGAGTTATTGCATAATAAACAATTATTAAACACCCAACATCCAATCACCCATTCACCTACCAAATGTTATATGTTGCTTAAGCGATATTCGAATTATGGTCTATCTTAAATTGTAGGCTATCGCCACTGTATGATATTATATAGTGTATTACACAAAATGTGTTCTGGATGCAACTGGTTTACGCCCTTGCACAAAACCTGCGGAAAAGTTTACGCGTTAACCCTTTTTGTCGCGTTCAATACGTGGTGGAGATACAAGTCTTACGTTGCGTACCTAACGTACACATTATGTAAAATTAGTATACGACACCGTGTTATAATATATTATATATACGAAATAATAATAATAATAATATAAAATACAGTGATCGCCACTTAATGGGAATCGTTCATCTATTTGACTACCTACTATTAATGTAAAACAAATTAAAAAATACTGTATTCGCCTAGCTACACTGTCCATTGGCGTCAATGTATACTTTTAAGGGAATATTATTATCATACGTTTCGACGATTATTGCTGTTTCTTCGACTCGTCAAAATGTATTTACATTTTTAAAATTATTTTTTTACATTATTATTTAAAATCATTTTGAAATATTTTTGAAAAATCAGAAATCTACTTTTATGTCTATGTAATAGTATATCGTTATCAGTTTTCTTATTTTGTTTCATCGTAAACGACAAGTGACAACATTCATAGAATGAAACACCTAAATAAATGCATAATAATTATGAATATTTATAAGTACCTACGTCCTACACAAGTACCAACTTAACCAAATTTAATTCATCTATTTTAAATCACAATAGATGCCTATAATATGTGGTTATATAGGTATATGTGACATAATAATTATTAGGTACTCCGTGTATTTATTTTTAGTTTTTATTCTTCGACCTTTCGCCTCAAATCGACTCGTTCGGTCAATGAAATCAATGCTAGGGTCCCGAAGTGACGGAGTCCTACTGTACAATATAATATTTGCGATCGCGTCCAATCGTATAATCGGTTATTATTATATATGGGTACAATACGCGTATATTACAATAATAATAATAATAATAATAATATGCGCATCGGATCGGGCACAATAAGGCGAGTGGGCACACATCGTGGATCTCGTACAATAATAAATAATAATAATAGCAATAATCGTGTGGCGGTCGGTCGCGGGGCGGTACTGCGATTTTTATGCGTAATAATGATACGGCCGCGGCGCCCTCCCGGTGGGCGAGCTCGCGCGCGTACCCGCCGCCGCGGTGAGCGACGCCGTCCGCCCCGGAAC